GCTGGCTGGGCCAGCGTTTTTATTGCCCGTCCCTAAATGCAGTGAAGAATCAACCAGGTCAGTGTGGGGACTGGAGTCACGTATAGGCCAGACCGGGTAAGGAGGACGGATTTCCCTCCCCTAAAGGACCAGACGGGAACAGTCATCGTTAGGTTAGTTCCCCTTTCCAAATGTTTATTGAATTTGTATCTACATTAAGCAGCTTGTGTCCCCGAGGAAGGACAGGCCCAATCATGTTTTGCCCCGTACCCTGATGGAGGGGGCAGGGAGAGGGAAAGGGGGAGCCCCGCACCTCGATTGGGAGCCGAGCTTCCCGAAGCCTCCGGACTCACTCTGCCTCTGCTCTCTCTCCCTTCCGGACAGTTTATCGAGCCATGCAAATCCGATCGGTGGAGTAGCAGTGACGTCTGGGCTTTCCTCACACAGTACACCAACACTGCCCGCGCGCTCGATGCCTTCAAGTAAGCAAGCATGAGGGCAATGGGGATACTGCGGGAAAAGGGCCGGGTGGGAATTAGGGAGAATCTGTCTGCCCCCTGCCCTTCCCCCGAATGTGACGGAGTTCAAGTGTAAACCTCAGGAGGAAAAGGTGCCGGACCAGAGGAACGTTCATTGCCCTTTTGTAGAGACCTTCACATTCCCTCGAGATACTGGGGTTTGCCACGGACCAATCATCGACCGCGGTGGGCAAGAGATCAGCAGGGGCAGGCCATTTGACCTATCGAGTCTGCTCTGCCATTCAATGGCTGATCTGATCATTCTCAACCCCACTTTCCTTCCTTGTCCCCATCACTCTCGATTCCTGTCCCCACTTAAAAATCCACCCATCTCAGCCTTGAATGTACATAATGACCCTGCCTCCTGCAGTAAAGAATTCCACAGATTCACTCCCTCCGAGAGGAAAACTCCTCCTCATCTGTCTTCAATAGGCAATCCCCCTTATTCTGAGATGAAGACTTCTGATCCTAGACTCTCCCACAAGGGGAACAACCTTTCCGCATCTCCCCTATTGAGTCCTCTAAGAATCTGTAGGTTCCAATAAGGTCTCCTTTCTTTCTTCTAAACTGCAATGAGTAAAGGCCCGATCTACTTAATCTGTCCTCGTCAGACTCCTTCAATACCTGGGATCAGCCTAGTGACCTTCTCTGGACTGTCTCCAATGCCAGTATATCCTTCCCTACATAAGCGAACTGTCACACTATTCTAGCTGTGGCCTTGCATGGTTTAAGCAAGACTTGGCTAATTTCGTACTCCATTCCATTTGGAATAAGGAACTCATTTTGAACTTAGCAACGCTGCAGAAAGTAATTCCTTGCCTTCTCCCCGAAAGCCTGTCTCACCATCTACATGTCACAAGTCAGCAGCGTGATGGAATACTCCCCACTTGCCCCTGGATGGGGACAGCTCCAACAACACTTGAGAAGCTCAAAGCCATCCAGGACAAAGCAGCCCCCGCTTTGATTGGCAGCACATCCACAAACATCCCACTCCCTCCACCCACCGACGCTCAGTAGCAGCAGTGTGTACCATCTACAAGATGCACTGCAGAAATTCACCGAAGATCCCCAGACAGCACCTTCCAAACCCACGACCCCTTTCATCCAGAAGGACAAGGGGCAGCAGATACATGGGAACACCAACCCCCCCTGCAAGTTCCCCTCCGAGCCCCTCACCATCCCGGCTTGGAAATATATCGGCCGTTCCTTCAGTGTCGCTGGGTCAAAAATCCCAGGACTCCCTCCCTAACAGCGCTGTGTGGGGTGTCCTTATACCACGTGGGGTGTCCTTACACCACATGGACTGCCGTAGCTCAAGAAGGCAGCTCCCCACCACCTCCCCAAGGGGCAACTAGGGATCAGAAATAAAGATGGGCTGAACCAGCAATGCCCATGTTCAGTGAGGTCATTTTTAATAGGTACTTTCTGAAATGTGGTCACCGTTTCAATATGGGCAGTAAGTAGCCTGAAAATTTGTTGAAATATTTATTGAAAAACCGCTGTATGTTTTAGACATTAGAAATTTCAGCTACTGGAGGCCGAGTGATGGCAATGAATGTGCTTTATGGTACCTGCTAGTGGCCAGTGTTAGGAACTGCAGGAAAACCAAGCTGGCAATTTTTGTCTCAAGCTTATGAAATGATTTTTAATTTTTTCTGCGAGGACATTAATAAACTTGCAGATGAGGCTTAGCTCAGGCAAATGTGAGGCAGTAGATTTTGTTTGGAAGAGCAGGGAAGTCAATTACTACTCAGAAGTAGAGAGTCCGGGTGGCATAAGGATTGTGGGAAACCTCAGAGTATAGATGAACCAGTCACTAAAAGCTGAATAAACCAGCATGAGATTTGTAATTCTAGAGGGTTAGAGTTACAAAGTGAGGAGGTTGTTCCTGTATCAAACATCAATTAGACCACACTGTGTGCTCGGTTCTGGTCTCTGTATTTTTAAACAGGATATGGAGGTACTGAAAAGGGGTGTAGGGGAAGTTTATGAGGATGATATGGGAATGTCTGGGGATACACGTCAGGAATAGACTGACAGACTGAGATGTGACCCCAACAGAGTTCTGAGAGTGGGGAGACTCGTGTGGGGAACAGCATCACTACAGGCCGTCGATTTATACAACAGGTGCCAAGAAATCCAGTCAGGAATTCAGGAAAAGTCCAGAGAGCAGGGCTAATGTGGGAATCGCTCCCACAAGTAGGCGAGCTGTCCAGTTGCTGGACAAGTACACAAGGGAGGAGGAAAGAGTTGGATTCGGGCAAGGTTGAAGGTGGCTCGAGTGGATTAGAATTGGAGGGGTTGGGCTGAATGGCCTGAGTTTCTCTCCATGAGATACAGGAGCAGAATCGGGCCATTTGGCTCATCGAGTCTGCTGTGCCATTCAATCATGGCTGATACATTTCTCAACCCCATTCTCCTGCTTTCTCCCCGTAACCCTTGATCCTCTCACTGATAAAGAACCTTTCAATCTCCATCTCTACCTGTCTGTGCTCTGTTGTGTGTTGTGTTTACTTTACCTAGACACCAGTATCTATGGGAGCGATACATGGGAACCATCAAAAGCTGCATTATGAAGATGTACCACGAGTGACGGTTCCTGAGGCTTCCTAACATCACACAGGGACCGGCTATGAGCTCTAGCCATGACGTCTGGAAGGAGAGCAGGCTGTTCTGCTTCCTGCTACAAAAAGCCCGTTTGGAGCTTGCTCCTGATGATTCCTGTTTGGGGAGGGGGTGTTTCAGTGCTGGCCTTGCGGAGAGAACATTGTCGCTGCCGTCTTCATGAAGCAGATCCTGGTTCTCGAGGCCTGTCTCTCTCGGGATCTTCTCCGGGAAGGGACGTTGTTCCTCTGCCTGGGTTATTGTTACCAGCCTGTTCCCCAGGTCAACGAGAGGCTCTGACTATTTCAATAAAGCTTTTGGTTTGTTCTAACCCCTGCCTGAATCTCGCGCTTCTGTTAGTAATGAAACACCCCCACCATCCCCTC